GGTTCAGTCCTGCGACAGTATTTTGCGTTTTGAAGGTGCAAAACACATACCGAAGCTTGCAGCACTGCGTCAGGCTTTTCAGTAGTGTTTTCATAGCCACTGCATCAGACCCGAGGAGAGTTATGTCGTCCGCATACTCTAGGTTTGTCAGTCGGTCACCTGGCATAACTCCCATTCCGTTATCGTCTTAGTGGACCGATCCGTTCATGATCGTTTCGATCACGAAGTTTAAGAGAAAAGGTGATACATGACGACCCTAACGAACCCCATTTATCGTGGGGGACTTAGAAGACAGGTTTCCATAGACACTTACACGGCTTCCGGAAACGCGATAGAGACAGCATAATGTGAAGGAATTTAGCCAGTACGCTCTTCATGGATAAGCAGTGCCACAAGATGACGAGGTCAGCAGTGTCTAAGGCGTCTTTCAAGTCAAGAAAAACCACCATAGACGGTCATCTGTATGTGTTTCTGATCTAAAACTTGGCGTAAATAAATATGTTGTCGATAGCCAGCACGTAGCGTTATGGATCTATCCTGCCCTGTATTCTGAGGGCGCAAGCCCGTCTGCGTAGGGTGGTGGTTGCGCCGCAACGAAGCGTCGGTACTGCGTACCACTGTACTGCTGATGCCCACGTGGTCAATGCAACCACGATCAGGGCGGAAACCAGCCTGGCTTTCAGTGATTCGGTTATCACTGTGACCAGTCAGTCCTCAGTGAATGATACCCCTGAGAATTTTGGATGCAATGGAAACAAGGCTAATATCTCGATGACTTTCGCTTAATGTACGCTGGCCCTTTTTGAGAATGGGCATAAAAGTCACTAGTCTGAAGACACTTCCTCAGTTTACCAACTAGTGTTAAGTGGGGTGGCAAGTCTAGTCAATAAACAGTCAACTCCATCTTTCAACAAATATGGTCGTCGGATCCAGGAGCTATGTTTTGTTTCAGCACGGTAGGTTCATGTCGAATCATCAGCTTTCCATATCATCAACATCACAACAACTTTCCACGTCGGCTCGGGTGATTCAGCAAGCCGCTGTCACAGTGGGTCCGCTGAACTGCTCTTCAAAATGTTCTGCCCAATGCGTTAGTCGACGACGCTGAGAATGAATCAGATGTCCATCTCTCTAGGCTATTGTTTCGCTAACTGATGGCTTTCTCGAATCCGTGTTCTGAATGGGCTAGAACAGCACTCAGCTGTTTCCAGTGACATTGGCATTTTCCAGCTCACGGGCCTTTGCCACCCACCAACGTTCCCGGTCGATTCGGAGACTCCTTGTCTATCATCGTTTAAGGGAGTTATGGATACGTTGAAACTCAGTGCCCATTGGGGGACATATTTCTCTGCTTCGATCAAGCTGATCGATGCCTTAGAGTTTCATTCACTGTTCGGACATCTCAAGTTTGGCACACAGAAGGCGTCAGAAACATTCCTTACGGCACACTTAAGATGAATTCAGTCAGCTTTCGGCTCACTAACCTCATTCACCACTTACAATTGGTGGGCCAGTTCGTCATGATATTGTTGAACTGAATACTGAATACTGTATTTTGGAGCAAGTAGAAAATAATTCTGTACAACTCCATACCTTATGGCTTGCCAAGACGACACCCGGAAGGTCCGGCTGCTTCTACGCAAACTTGGTACGCCCGAACACCAACGCTACACCAACTTCATGTTGTCGAGGAACCCACGTAACGTTACCTTTGACGAGACGGTCCGAACGTTGTCCCAGATCTTTGGCGAGCAGTCCTCCCAGTTCAATGCTCGTTATCAATGTCTGCAGCTCGCCAAGCGTGATGTCGACGACTTCATCACGTACGTGGGCGTGGTCAACTGTCAATGTCAACGTTTTCAGCTTGGCTCACTCACCGAGGACCAACTTAAATGTCTGATTTTCGTCTCTGGTCTCCAGTCTCCACACGATGCCGATATTCGGACGCGCCTCCTGTCCAAGCTACAACAGGATAGCTCAGTCACTCTCCAGAATCTGGCAGAGGAGTGTCAAACGCTGCTCAACCTAAAGCACGATTCCGCCATGATCCAGAACGTCGCCGCAACTGGTATGGTCCAGGCAGTCACAGCACCGAGGGCGCAATCGTTAGCGCACCCCACCCAATCCGACCGAGCGAAATCCCCAACCTACGCGCGCCGATGCTGCGGTGTCTGCATTTCCACCGGGACTGCAATTTCCGCCAGCACCATTGTTAACGTTGTGGCAGGGTGGGACACCGGGATGGTTACTGTCATCCCCAGTCTCTCAAAGGGGCCAAAACTGGGCTCGACCACATTCGTGATCCAGACGCACACCCAAACCTGGTCAGGTTGGCAGCTCCCTGAGCCTGCTGGCAACATTCCAAATCGACGCTGCGGATTGAAG